CAATTTATTTGGCAATCGCCAATGGCAGTCAGCAGGGTTTAAGAACATCAGTTGTTCGACCTGTTAGTCAAATGCGTTTTGTTAAAATAGACTTTTTCACTTTTTTTGGTCTTTTGGAAATTGTTTTTTGTGCTGTATTTAGACCCCTCTACCAAGAAATTTGTTTTACATGCACACGTATAAAAATTGCGGTTTTTATCCAACGCAATCATAGGTTTGAACGTTGTTTTCAATTTAGACTTTTATATATTTTTTCGTTTGGGATTGTATTATATTTTCCTTCGGGTTTATATGATCCGTTCATCCTATTTCGACTCTTTAAAATTCAAGAGTCTATCCTAAATTGAGGTAAATTATATGGCCTTCCAAATACCGTTTTGATCCCTAACATCACTGAAGAGACATTAATTGTCGAAATCCGGATATGGTGTACAAATTTTTGCACCTCATGTTTGTGGTATACCATCTTTTCCACAAGTTTATTGTTTTCTGTTTGGTATTAAATTAATATTAAGATCCATTTCGTTAGATCTGGTGATCAATTTATTTGGCAATCGCCAATGGCAGTCAGCAGGGTGTAAGAACATCAGTTGTTCGACCTGTTAGTCAAATGCGTTTTGTTAAAATAGACTTTTTCACTTTTTTTGGTCTTTTGGAAATTGTTGTTTGTGCTGTATTTAGACCCCTCTACCAAGAAATTTGTTTTACATGCACACGTATAAAAATTGCGGTTTTTATCCAACGCAATCATAGGTTTGAACGTTGTTTTCAATTTAGACTTTTATATATTTTTTCGTTTGGGATTGTATTATATTTTCCTTCGGGTTTATATGATCCGTTCATCCTATTTCGACTCTTTAAAATTCAAGAGTCTATCCTAAATTGAGGTAAATTATATGGCCTTCCAAATACCGTTTTGATCCCTAACATCACTGAAGAGACATTAATTGTCGAAATCCGGATATGGTGTACAAATTTTTGCACCTCATGTTTGTGGTATACCATCTTTTCCACAAGTTTATTGTTTTCTGTTTGGTATTAAATTAATATTAAGATCCATTTCGTTAGATCTGGTGATCAATTTATTTGGCAATCGCCAATGGCAGTCAGCAGGGTGTAAGAACATCAGTTGTTCGACCTGTTAGTCAAATGCGTTTTGTTAAAATAGACTTTTTCACTTTTTTTGGTCTTTTGGAAATTGTTGTTTGTGCTGTATTTAGACCCCTCTACCAAGAAATTTGTTTTACATGCACACGTATAAAAATTGCGGTTTTTATCCAACGCAATCATAGGTTTGAACGTTGTTTTCAATTTAGACTTTTATATATTTTTTCGTTTGGGATTGTATTATATTTTCCTTCGGGTTTATATGATCCGTTCATCCTATTTCGACTCTTTAAAATTCAAGAGTCTATCCTAAATTGAGGTAAATTATATGGCCTTCCAAATACCGTTTTGATCCCTAACATCACTGAAGAGACATTAATTGTCGAAATCCGGATATGGTGTACAAATTTTTGCACCTCATGTTTGTGGTATACCATCTTTTTCACAAGTTTATTGTTTTCTGTTTGGTATTAAATTAATATTAAGATCCATTTCGTTAGATCTGGTGATCAATTTATTTGGCAATCGCCAATGGCAGTCAGCAGGGTTTAAGAACATCAGTTGTTCGACCTGTTAGTCAAATGCGTTTTGTTAAAATAGACTTTTTCACTTTTTTTGGTCTTTTGGAAATTGTTGTTTGTGCTGTATTTAGACCCCTCTACCAAGAAATTTGTTTTACATGCACACGTATAAAAATTGCGGTTTTTATCCAACGCAATCATAGGTTTGAACGTTGTTTTCAACTTAGACTTTTATATATTTTTTCGTTTGGGATTGTATTATATTTTCCTTCGGGTTTATATGATCCGTTCATCCTATTTCGACTCTTTAAAATTCAAGAGTCTATCCTAAATTGAGGTAAATTATATGGCCTTCCAAATACCGTTTTGATCCCTAACATCACTGAAGAGACATTAATTGTCGAAATCCGGATATGGTGTACAAATTTTTGCACCTCATGTTTGTGGTATACCATCTTTTTCACAAGTTTATTGTTTTCTGTTTGGTATTAAATTAATATTAAGATCCATTTCGTTAGATCTGGTGATCAATTTATTTGGCAATCGCCAATGGCAGTCAGCAGGGTTTAAGAACATCAGTTGTTCGACCTGTTAGTCAAATGCGTTTTGTTAAAATAGACTTTTTCACTTTTTTTGGTCTTTTGGAAATTGTTGTTTGTGCTGTATTTAGACCCCTCTACCAAGAAATTTGTTTTACATGCACACGTATAAAAATTGCGGTTTTTATCCAACGCAATCATAGGTTTGAACGTTGTTTTCAATTTAGACTTTTATATATTTTTTCGTTTGGGATTGTATTATATTTTCCTTCGGGTTTATATGATCCGTTCATCCTATTTCGACTCTTTAAAATTCAAGAGTCTATCCTAAATTGAGGTAAATTATCTGGCCTTCCAAATACCGTTTTGATCCCTAACATCACTGAAGAGACATTAATTGTCGAAATCCGGATATGGTGTACAAATTTTTGCACCTCATGTTTGTGGTATACCATCTTTTCCACAAGTTTATTGTTTTCTGTTTGGTATTAAATTAATATTAAGATCCATTTCGTTAGATCTGGTGATCAATTTATTTGGCAATCGCCAATGGCAGTCAGCAGGGTTTAAGAACATCAGTTGTTCGACCTGTTAGTCAAATGCGTTTTGTTAAAATAGACCTTTTCACTTTTTTTGGTCTTTTGGAAATTGTTGTTTGTGCTGTATTTAGACCCCTCTACCAAGAAATTTGTTTTACATGCACACGTATAAAAATTGCGGTTTTTATCCAACGCAATCATAGGTTTGAACGTTGTTTTCAATTTAGACTTTTATATATATATATATAAATAACTGGGATTTCCAAAAATGTTGGATAGTAAAAGGCAACGAAAAAAAAATCTTCTCATCCGAGAAATCGATTTACGACATTTACAAAGACAGGCAACAACGAAAACAAGTGGTTCAGATTGGGCAACTTGGAACAAACCCTAAATATGGTAGAGTTAAACCAGTTTTACATATTACATTTCATATAACGAAAATTATTTGGTAAAGATTGAATTGGTACAGGCACGAAGATGTTATAGAGTTATATCCGTTTTAAGCATTTAAATATATATTATATTCGAAAACACGAATTTTTGTCAAAATACTAGGCTTTCTTTTTTTCTTACTACATTTAAAGTGCATTATTTTGGATATATATCAACACGACTGGATTTTTAATTCTGAAAATTTGTTGATACAGTAAAATTGAATTGCCTACTGTTTTCCTTGTATGTATATGTACTCGTTAATTAACCATTCGAACAAGCTGCAAAAGATAACGCACTGAACTGTAGGCAGATAGCAAAGTTTCAATGATATTTTTAAATGCAGTATACGTATATGAAAATGATTGATTGATGGCTAAAAATTTAATAACGACAATGTAAATGCAATTCAAAGTTTTATTTAAAGTCGATATTCAATAAACTACATAAACACAAGCTCTAGTGAGCATTTCAAATCGATTGAATAACAAAGTGTATACACACATACAAAAGTCCTGTAAACAACACAATTTTAAATATACAGTGCATAGTATAATACAATAGATGACAAGTTAAAAGTTAAAAGCATAGTATGCAAAATAAGTATATCTTAAAACATATAGCACGAGTTAGAATAATAAGCACAGCAGATAATAGCAACTGAAAAAGCTAAATAAATCAAATAGTCACGCAAAAAAAAAAAAAAAAAAAGCACAGGCATAAAACACTATATGCATGCACTGCACTGGCATGAGCTGTTATTTGGATCCCATGTTTGTACCAATTTTTTGAATTGAAATTAAAGTTGTTTCAGCTTTACAGATCTTTTTTGGAAGCACTCAATCAAGTGGAAACATTCTGACAGTGACAGTCAGTTTTCTTGTATAGCACGTCCTGGTCATGAGTAGTATTAATGATACTTTTCGATTTATCCATTTGTAAAAAATTAATTTTACACTGGATCCTATAAGATAAAAATAGGAGATTTTTTTTTTCAAACCGATCAACGTATTACTAAACTTAATATAACTAAAAAGGTCCGTGTATGGTATTTAAAAAGTGTAATAATTATTTCAGTGATTACCAATATGACCGTGAACAGGAAATTCCATTCAACATCAGAGGGTTTTCGCTGCCTGTGTTTTTGCTTTGCATCAAAGCCTATGCGAAAGTATCTGGGTACGAACCACTTAAGGTTGTACCAAACACCTTGACTAAAATTAATTTGGCTCGTTTAATTTTCATAAAATTTTGACAAAATATTTACTTTGACCCTTTGAAAAAAAAAAAAAATTTCAAAAAACTTGAACCACACACTTTATCGGAAAAATTTCATTGGGTATGTAGCAGTTTGACAAACGCTAATTTTGATAATTGAGAAGCTTAATATTTCCTTAACAACAGAACGTGATTAAAACATTCAGCTGATTTTTACAGAGTTATCTCCCTGTAGTGTTATGACCCACTTAATGTCTCTGGCTACCATGGCGAAAGTTTTGCATTGCAGCATATAGATTATTAAGAAGAAAATTGTATTTGTCAAGAAATATTGTACCAGTTAATTCCTAATATGGTTGTAAAATCTTTTTATAGGCTTTGTTGGTATTGGTTCTCTGTTTAGCAGATATATCAGGTGCGGATCCTGGATTTAAAAAAAAGGGGGGGCAACGTTTGGAGTGATATTTGTAAAAAGTTTATACAGTTATCATATATGAAGCTCCATTAGGGGGTCTCTTAATACATCAAAAGAGTATCACATTTCGGAGTTAAACTATTTTCTGTCGAGTACTATGAAATATAGAGACAGAGAGCTGTCAGCCTTCAATTTAGTTACTGACATCATTTCATCTTCTTTTCAGCATCCAAATTATGACAATAACTTTCTTAAAGGATATGATATAGCCATATTATTTCTTGAAAGAAATGCCACGCCATCTTATCGTGTCAAGCCAATTCCTGGTATTGCCCACAAAACGCTGTATTACACTAAATGCAACTGTTTCATCACAGGATGGGGAATCAAATCAATGGGTAACTATATTTATAACATAAAGTGTCAGGATAGTTGTTGTTTCAATGTAGAGATTAAAAAAGTCGTATCACATGACACTTTTCTGTTTTTTTTACACAGGCGAATTAAGCAAATGTTGTGATTTAGATAGATTAACACTTAAATAAGTCGACCACGCTGTTATAATATGATATCCTCATACCGATGGAAATCTACTGTAAGGTGCACGTGACATAGCCTATATGTTCACGTTTTCATGCAGACGACATTGTGTTGATCCTAACGTTACATAGGTTTCTGACGTTATTACATTTTTGTGTAAATTGAAATCGGACACGGTAGATAATCTTGGAAATAATTTAAGCCTGGCTTATGCATGGGTTAAGAGATATACATCTTTAAATAAGTAATCTAGCTGTTTGCAAAAAAAAAAACCTGTGTGATCAGTACTATTACAGCATGCGCTTCATACAGAATTGAAATAATCTAGCTGCTTGTAAGAAATGCGTTTGATCAAAGCAATTTGAGCATCCGTTTGATACAGAATTGATCAATTTTATCCAGAAGCTTTCAATACAATTTATGGAAATGATTGACACAAATTTAAAAGTACCAGTGATTTTTAAAAAGTAGTGTAAAGTAAACACTACTGCACGAAAAAAACAAAACAAAATCAATCGTCTATACGATTAAAAATAGTAACACGATCAAGTCAATTGACATTTCATTCCGGTTTCCCTTTTTTTAATTATTGAAAAAAAATCCATGTGATACGATTGTGGCTTCATATTAGATTTTACAAACACAGATTTTGACAACGAATCGTTAACACAGCTATAACCAATCCTCTGGCAAACAGACATGAAACAAACACCTCCCAAAAAAAAAAAAAAATAGAAAAATAAAAATTAATGAATAACACAATTCTGACAATGCACCCATTCTCCTATATATATGAGGTAAATATTAACGTAGGAGAAGCAAATATTAAAATACAATTATTTGTTTTGATCCACGATCCCTGCTCATCAGTCTATTACGCGATAATAAGAAGAACACAAAAATGCAGTTCTCTAGACCATAGAATAGAGAATGTGAACGGGGAATGTGTCATAGAGACAACAACCCGACCAAAGAGCAGAAAACAGCCCAAGGCCACCAATGGGTCTCCTCTCCAAATCCCGCACCCGGAGGCGGGCTTCAGATAGTCCATAAACAATAATGTATACTAGTTAAGCTAAATGGACGCCACACTAAACTCTGAAACATACAAATGAACTAAAATTAAAATACGCACAAGACTAACAAAGGCTAGAGGTTCCTGACTTCGGACAGGCGCAAAAATACGGCGAGGTTGAAATATTTTGTGAGATCTCAACCCTCCCCTATACCTCTAACCAATGTGGAATTAACAAACACAGCTTAAAGATAATCCCCGTATATGCATCTCCTTTGAGTACAAACTACATGTATTCATAATAAGTATGTTCATTTGATATATAACAATGATTATTCTATTCTTTTGTTGCATTTAAGGTATTCCATCCGCAGCATCTAAGGACGTTCAGTCAAGTAAGTACAGTCTTAAGTCGATGATTAATACCATAATGACACTTTTACTAGATGAATTAGGCGCAGTAGAGAAAATGATTGTGAGAGCCGAGTTAAATAAAAAAAAAAACATTCTTGCATTGAATTTTGCATTTTTCGTTAAGGTACACACATGCAAAATGTACGTGTTTCATCAGTCGAAGACTGGAGAATCCTTATGCAAAACAAATGTCTTCTTTAACAATGTTTAATTTACTCAACGAACTTTTTTTATTTGATGCTCCAGATGGCTATTATAAAGCCTCGGTTGGAGCTTAGATGGCCGAGCGGTCTCAGTAGTTTATTTACAGTTATCACTAACCTGCAATCTATAATGTTGTGAGTTCGTACCACGTGTTTGTGTTCGACTCGGACTGTCTTATAATTTGTTTAGGTAAAGACAGACTGCAAAAAAAAGTTAGATAATATAAATAATAGTTCTCAAAAGGACCAAAACCAGCTTAGATGTGAGCATTTTTACTTTGAATATTTCTCAAATGTAAAACAGTTGCAGATTTATAATTGTAATGACATTGAAATTGGATGGAATTCACTTCAAGAACGCCATTGGAACCTTTTTGATTGCGGCATAGAGAGGGGTGCGAGATAAGGGGTTAGCTTCAAATTAGTGTTTTCAATTCTAGTCAGATGATTTTCAAATTTATATGAAAATGTTTTTATCCCTTAGGTGAGTTTGATTAGCAGAATTTTTTTTTTTAGAAAAATGGACGTATTTATAGAAAAACTTGTGCACGTGTCACATAAATTATTATTGTCGCTTGGATATCGTCTTTGTGTATTATCAGTACCCGTACAATATTTAAGAATTTTAACAGTTGACTAAAATCTTTGATAAGTTCGGTATGAAAAAAAGAATTTGATTTCAAGTTGTAGGTATAAAAACATCTTTTTTTACCGAATGGTCAGTGTTGATCTTTTTCAACCACTAGACGTCTGTTGTCGTCCGTTTACATTTACCAAAACTTTGTCCCGTGAAACTATTTGACTGAAAGAAACTTAGCAACAATCATTCTTTGGGTATCTAGATTAAAAAAACATGTTCGATGATTCAACCAAAACGTTTGTCAAATAGGAGCTATTTATACATGTTATATCTTGAAAATCGATATAGATAGAGAAAACGTTTAGAATGTCATGATCTACTCACTTCCCATCGTCAGTCCAATCCTCATAAGAGTTATTTTCCTTTAATTACGATGTGTACCCTTTCTGATTTATTAGAGGAAACTAAAAGTAATCACAGAGCAAAATTAATCAGCAAAATAAGAAATTTCAGAATTTGTGAACTATTTTGGGAACAGAAGTTTGTCTAGCTTTCTAACTTAAGTTTCGATTCTCTTAATTGTAGAAACTAACGGTTATGGTCACTTGGCAGTAACGTTACAAGAAGCGGAGATTGAAGTTATAAGCAACTCAAAATGCAACTCCAGACGGTATTGGGATGGGTTAGTGAAACCAACAAATATTTGTGCCTTTCATAAAAAAACGGCAGCTTGTGAGGTAAACTTCTAACAATCACAACATTTTATAATTTGTTACTGTGTAACTATAGATATATATTGTTGCTGTAAACGTGCCGATTTGTTAGACATTGCTGTCAGTTTCTAATTTCGACAAAGATAAAGAAACTTTCCGCCTGTTTCATGTCACAGCGAGAAAGTGACTCGTTATGTTTATGATCAAACAAAGATATGATATTAGCAATTCAAAATGCAACTCCAGACGGTACTGTGATAGATTAGTGAAACGAACTATGTTTGTGCCTTTCATAAAAAACGGCAGCTTGTGAAGTAAACTTCAAACAATCACCATATTTTATGATTTGAATCTTTACGTTACTGTGTTACTATAGATAAATACTGTTGCTGTAAGCGTTCCGATTTGTTAGACATCGCTTTCATTTTTTTTTTATATTCGGCAAAGATAAAGAAAGTTAATGCTTCCACCTGTTTCATGTCACAACAGCTAGAACGTGACTCGTTATGATTGAGATCATGTAAAAATATCCTGATGTAATATTCCTAATCTTAAAAGTATTTTTCACTACATTTTTTATCTTAAAACCATGGTGTTGGTATAAACTTTACGATGATGGATACATGTAAGAAAAGATTAGCAATGAAATACATGAAAACACCCTAGCTAAGATTAGTTGGACGCACTCATTTTCTTGTTTTTGCCAAATTTTCAAATGATCATAATATAAAAACGAACATACACTTCGAAAAAAATACCGTTTAGTAAAAGATCAAATCTGTACTCTAAGACTTGTAAACTCGTTCTCACAGTAATATGAAAATAAAGAGATTTGATATGCTTAATTGCCAATGAAAATTCTGTCCACCATAGTCCAAATGACTTAGATGTCAGATGGCAATCAAGTACCGGCAAAGGAAGTACTGAGCATCTCACCTTTGGAACATGTGGCGGAAAGTACAGTAACAGTTATACGCTCATCTTTCAATTGCATTTTTAAATGCAGTGTAGTATACATATTTGTTTTATTAAGCTAAAGGACTGTGGGAGTTCCAGATTAGTGTACCAGATATATAATAATAAAACAGTAGACGTGATAATAATAGAAAAAATAATTATAAAAATAAAAAAGATGATTATTTTACTACTAATAATAAAATAATAACGTTAGTTTTCAAAAGTTAAATACGTTTCTTTATTTAGGGAGACAGCGGAGGACCTCTAGTTTGTAAAGTGCAGAACCAATACATTCTAGTTGGAGTGACGTCGTGGGGATCTTCTTCGTGTATGAGCTATCCTACGGTGTTTGCAGACGTTGCTAAATTCTGGGAGTGGACTCAAGACAGAATATTACAATATCGCATGCTAGTGCGTGAAATTAAAACGGACGATACAAAACTCGAAATGGAAATGAATATTTTTCAAGAAAGATAGTCATGTTACTTTACATTTTTGAATACTCTTAAATATGCACTTTCATCAGGACCACTTTAGTTTTGGCAGCACCAGAATTGGTTCTATATGAACTTACAAATCAATCCTGCAAACTGTCAACACGGGATTAAAGACCATTGGCATTCTCTTAAAACATGATCATCGATACAATCATGGCAAAATTGATAAATTCCTAGCATTATAAAACTCTTACAAAGCTTTCTGATATCGAATATGATTTTTTCATGTAGTCATGAAAGAAGTATCATCCTTTGTACTAAAATTGATAATAAAAATTATCTTTAGATAATTTTCATTTTAGTAATCGGCTAACGAAATATATGCTGAATATATTTTTTAACAGTTTCTCTGAAATAAAAAAAACACGTTTCCACGATTGATTCAATATGTTTTGTAGATATATTATAAAAGGCTCCAATGAAATATAACTCTATAGTTTAATTGTGTGACGAATGCTGTAGAAGCAGGATTGTAACAACAATGGATTAAAATATTTTGCTGATATTTGCCTATTTCTATTTTTTAAACTTGGAATAGTGTAGTTTACTCATATCATATAGATCAAAATTTCTGTCTTTGTAGATTAAGCAATGAAGACGTTTTATTCGAAAGGACGTGCTATAGTCAACAGCAAAAGTATCAAAAATACATTTTCTTTGCTTTACCGTGTTCTCGCACTTCCCAATTGATTTGTAATTATTAGGTTCACTTTGTGTTGACCTCTGGAAGTGTTTTTATACGACCGCAAAACATTTTTTGCGTCGTATAATGCTATGATGTCGTCGTCGGCGGCGTCGTCGTCGTCCGAAGACACATTTGGTTTCCGGACAATAACTTTAGTTTAAGTGAATGTATCTCTATGAATTTTTACCAGAAGGTTCAAGACCACAAAAGGAATGTTGGGATTGATTTTGGGGGTGATTGTACCAACAGTTTAGGAATTAGGGGCCAAAAACAAGCATTTTTGTAGTTTCCGGACACTAATTTGTGTGTAAGTGAATGGATCTCTCTGAAATTGTACCACAAGGTTCCTTATCACAAAGGGAAGGTTGGAATTGAGTTTGGGGTTAATTGCTCCAAACGTTAAGGAATTAAGGGCAAAAAAGGGGCCAAAAACAAGCATTTTTCGAATTTTCAGACAATAACTTGTGTTTAAGTGTATGGATCTCTCTAAAATTGTACTACAAGGTTCCATACCCTAAAGGGAAGGCTGGGATTGAGTTTGGGGTTAATTACTCCAAAAGTTGGGGGGGGGGGGGGGTTCCAATTATTTTTTTTTGGGGGGGGGGGAGGGGTTCATTTTTTTCTTCAAAATTTTAGAAATTTCAAATTTTTGAAATCTTCAATTGCACAGTATAACGCAATAGCAAGAAATCTTCAATTGCACAGTATTGCGCAATAGCAAGAAATCTTCAATTGCACAGTATTGCACAATAGCACATAATTGTACAATAGCAAAGTATTGGGCAAAAGTAAGTAATCTTCAATTGCACAGTATTGCGCAATAGCACAGTATTGTGCAATATCACAGTATTGCTCAATAGCAAGAAATCTTCAATTGCACAGTATTGCACAATAGCAAGAAATCTTCAACTGCACAGTATTGCGCAATAGCAAGAAATCTTCAATTGCACAGTATTGCGCAATAGCAAAAAATCTTCAATTGCACAGTATTGCGCAACAACACAGTATTGCGCAATAGCAAGAAATCTTCAATTGCACAGTATTGCACAATAGAAAGAAATCTTCAATTGCACAGTATTGCGCAATAGCAAGAAATCTTTAATTGAAAACAAATACAAATGTTTTAACTAATTTCGATGGGATTAATTAAGTCTTTAATTTTTTGGGGTTCTAACCTTGTATAATTTTTTTGGATATTGGGCCCCATTTTTAAATTGGTCTACATTGAGGTCAAAAGGGTCCAAAATTAAACTTTGTTTGATTTCATCAAAAACTGAATTAATGCGGCTGTATGATTTGCTGAATCTTAATGTGCATTTAGATTTTTATTTTTGGTCCTGTTTTCAAATTAGTTCATATGAAGGTTTGAAGGGTCCAAAATTAAACTTTGTTTGATTTCAACTAAAATTAAATTATTGGTGTTCTTAAATTTTATATGCCGAATCTAACCATGTTGTTAGATTTTGGAAAATCAGACCATTCTAGGTAAATTAAATGTCCCATTTCAAATTTTTAAGATCTTTGACCACATTTATTTTGTGTCAGAAACCTATATTATGTCAAAAATTTGATCACAATCCAAATTCAGACAGTATCAAGCTTGAATATTGTGTCCAAACTTGCCCCAACTGTTCAGGGTTCGACCTCTGCGGTCGTATCAGGCTGCGCTCAGCGAAGCATTTTATTGTCTTTTTATTCCCTGGGTTGCTGTCCCATCAACGTATACCCAACATCTCAATATTTATGTCATTCTCTTTACTTATTTCTGCTTTTCAACGTGGCGGTGGTCATTTTAATGCTCACATATCATTAAACTAATACATACTTAATGTTTAATCGTTAAATCCAGCATCGAATACGTTCACATTTGAGACAACAAAGGCTAATGTGGCAATTTTTGACCATTAAAATTTACTCCCAGTGACAAATTTTTTAATTAGAAAGTCAGTTTTTTCTTGTTCTTGAAAAATTTATCAACTATTTAATAGACTATTTTCAAATTACCGACTTTTGACTTCGATTATATAATTTTTCGACAAGTAGTGACAACTATGATTGCTCAGAGTAAGATATTTAAAAACCAAGGATGTACCGAAACACTTGAAGAGCTATGTGACCAAAAAGGATCTAACATTAAAGCCACATTCGCCTATAGTCAACTTTGCCTGAGGAAGTTGGAACCTTATTTTTTTAATAATTTTATAAATTTGTAAACAATCTAAGAAGGGTATGTTATAAACCAAGTCTGTACCGAAGCACTGACTACTGAGCTGATGATACACTCGAGGACCTATATAGTTCACCAGCAGCGTTAATTGTCGACCTATTGCTAATTGTGACCGTTGGATTAAAGTAATTCATGACATCTGAAAAACTTTAAACTTTGTCTGTATCTGAAAGTTACTGCAAAAAATAAGTTTATTTATCAGTAATTTAGGGATCACATCGAAAGTTCAACGTAGGATAAAAAAACTTATTTCAAATAAATTTTTCCTTGACCCTCCCCCCCCCCCCTTTTGTAACTTAATTTGAAAAAAAACTTGGTTAACCAGTAAAGGCATATGTGTTGAAAATTTGTTTTTAATGCACATGTATCATGCAAAATCATGAGTGTTGTTACCTCAACAACGATTGATTGATTTAATCTTAATTGCCTGGTGTCCAGTGGCAAATATTTCATGCTTGTTAAGAATGAGAACAAATTGACAATACATACAATAGGTAGGTCTTGTAATAAAGTTCAACAGGGATGACAGGCTGGACATTTTAACTGTCCACTCTGTGTTTTTGTTAGATGTATTTCTATTTGTATCCATCTGATGAGTTAAGCCTTATTCAACTGATTTTTATAGTTTGTTCTTATGTTGTACTGTTACACTACTGTCCAAGGTCAGGGGGAGGGTTTGGATCCCGCTAACATGTTTAACCACGCCACATTCTGTATGTTTGTGCCTGTCCCAAGTCAGGAATCTGTAATTCAGTGGTTGTCGTTTGTTGCTGTGTTGAATATTTGTTTTTCGTTAATTTTTTTGTACATAAATAAGCCCGTTAGTTTTCTCTTTTGAATTGTTTGACATTTGTCATTTCGGGGCCTTTTATAGCTGACTATGATGTTTGGGCTTTGCTCATTGTTGAAGGCCGTATGGTGACCTATAGTTGTTAATTTTTTGTTTCATCTGGTCTCTTGTGAAGAGTTGTCTCATTGGCAATCATACCACATCTTCTTTTTTTATATATGACACTGGAAAATGAGGATTAATTGGATTGGGACAGAAATTTAGCCTTGCAAGAGGCCACCTACCGACCCATCAAAGAGTTGTTACAAGGGTTCTTAACGTGCAGAGAGCGTTGCACTGTCTTTACATGAGGCACCGAATGTATCGTGTTCATTCTGATTGGACATGGCTGCGAATTTACACCTTCTGCACAATCAAACGGACGCCCCACTTTTGCAATCGTTTTCCTGTCAGTCAGAATGAGACCAAGAGTGGCTATATTTCTATTCCCTTGGTCACCATTGGTGTTCCTGGACAATGAATGGTGTCTTCTTTTTTGTATTGACTTTGGGCATACTTGTAAGGAAATATTGATGTGAATATTATTCTGAGGTATCTATATTAAACTAGTAATGCGAATTATTTTTTTACATATAAATGTACACTACATAAGTCATTGTGGTACCTGAATTTTCTATTTTTCTCTGGTCATTTACATAGAGTGTTTCAGTTTTTTGCTACATTTCCTTTTTTAAAACTATTTGAATAAAGTCATAATTGTTTATTTCAGATAATTCTGACTTGTTTTTGTCAGAGATGTGACTGATAGATTTGTAGCATAAAATTTAAGTTTTTAATGTAAATAGTGGACTCTGCAATTGTGTCCACTATTGAGAGTGGTCATGGCAAAAGTCATAATGACTATAGTGTACATGAACGGTCTATGAAATTTTAAATCTATATCCTATATTTATGTATATTAAATTTTCATCCGTTCCCAGTAGTTCCATATGACTTTCATTTTTTTTTATTTCGGTTCTTTTTCATTAATCAAGACGAATCTTTGTTCATCTGTATAATGTTTCAATGAGATTCAAAATTGCCATTTAATTATGGTTCCAATGACATAGATACCATGATACACTTTATAATTCACTTTTTGAAATTTTCCGTTTTAATGCTCTTGGGTTGGCTTTCAAACTGTTTTGATTATAGCATCACTAATGACTCCTATGTCCAACTCTAAGCATGGTATCTTTTATGAGTTTTTGACCCCAAAAATGACTATTTGTATACTGTACACTGTACTATCTATTTTCCTTTTGTTTGCATGAAAGTTCCAAACTCATTTAGGATAGAACTTTAATATGTATGTCTTTAACCCGAAAAATCAATGTAGGATAACAAAATTTGAAACCAGTGTGACTCCCTACCCCACCCCCTAACTATGTGAATTAAGTTTTTTTTATGCCCCACTTACGGGCATTATGTTTTTCGGTCTGTGCGTTCGTTCGTCCGTCTTTCCCGGTTCAGGTTAAAGTTTTTGGTCAATATAAAAAAGATGTGATATGATTGCCAATGAGACAACTCTCCACAAGAGACCAAATGCCACAGAAATTAACAACTATAGGTCACCGTACGGCCTTCAACAATGAGCAAAGCCCATACCGCACAGTCAGCTATAAAAGGCCCCGAAATGACAATGTAAAACAATTCAAACGAGAAAACTAACGGCCTAATTTATGTACAAAAA